AGATTAAGATGCTATATATATATATATATATATATAAATTAATTATTTTTTACTCCCTGCCTTTTAAATGTATTTACATTTTTTATTAAAATTTTTCATATTTTTGATAAGTTAATTTTTCATTTTTTCTTTAAAATGTATTTAAATGTTTAATTTAAATTTGTATTTTTAATAACTTTTTTATTTCTACTTTGACACAATGATACCTCAGCAACAGAATAATGTGTTACGAATATATTAATAGTAATAATTTAAATATATATATGTATATATATATATTATTTGTAATAAACTGATTTTTTTCTGCTTTTAAAATATATTTAAATGTTTAACTTAAATTTTAATTTTTAATAACTGCATTTAAATTGTTACTTTTATTTCTAAAATAGAAACAATGATAGTTATTATTACACTTCGGCAATAAAAGAATGTGCGTTATGAATATTTTAATACTAATAATTTAGAATAAAATGCCATGTGTTAAGCATTTCTGTAACAGGTCTCGCCTGAGAATTAACGGCTGTTATGTAAAACGTTTTGGGAGTTATTCTAATCAAGCAACTTAACATATACTGGTTACCAGTCAGGATTTCACTTTTGCGTGTGCAGTGCATGTTAGCTGGAGCTTCAGTCATTTGAGCCTTGTTAAATTACTGTAATGTGCAAGCGTCCCAGACCTCCCTCCACACTTAACTAGTCTCCGCTCCTGTGTAATCAGACATGCCCAGACACAATATGGAAACACAGAGGAGTCAATGGGATCCGCTCATGAGATCGCCGTGGATCGTGAGAGTGGAGCAGAGCCCCGCCTCCTCGGGGGCGGAGTCAGACACCGAAGGCAGCAGCACAGAGACCGAACGGGTCAAGCGTCCCAGACCTCCCTCCACACTTAACTAGTCTCCGCTCCTGTGTAATCAGACATGCCCAGACACAATATGGAAACACAGAGGAGTCAATGGGATCCGCTCATGAGATCGCCGTGGATCGTGAGAGTGGAGCAGAGCCCCACCTCCTCGGGGGCGGAGTCAGACACCGAAGGTAGCAGCACAGAGACCGAACGGGTAAATACACGCTTTCCTCTCAGAACCAGTCCCGCGGATCAGCCGCACTCATCTCTCCTTCTGTGTTTAACCAGCATCAAGCCAAACTGGGAGGCGGAGTCTCGCTGACATCACCGTCGATGCTGCTGCAGCAGCGAATCACGGAGCTCGACCAGCAGAGGGAGGAGCTAAAGATTGAGGTGAGTTTCCTTAACGAACACGAAACAAGACTAAAGGGAAATTAAACAAAACACCGTTATATTTTCATGCTCTGGTTGCCAGATGAGTTTAAATCCCCCAATCAGATCTTCTCTGCCCTTTGTTTAATTTATCTTCACAATCTGGCAACCATTTTCACAAATAAGGTCTTAAATCGGAGCAGAAAGTCTTAATTTATTAAATCAAGACACATTTACTGGAGATGCAAAATGAAAATAAGATGACAAATTGAGTTTATGCTTAAAACAAGAACAAATATCTGTCGGTTGGGTATTAAAACGTCATGTTGCTTCTCAAGTAAATGCATCTTGTGGACATTTGCACTGGAAAACTGCTGAGAAAGAACAGTGCAGTGCAATCAGAGGCACAGGTATATATATATACAGATATATTGTAAAATGAATTAAAAAGTAATTGAGATCTGTTGGAAGTTGTCTTTTCAAACTTTGAGGCGCAAATTTACATTTACGTTTAGACGTATTGTGTTTCATTCAAATGATTCCTCACATTTTCTTTACTTGGTCTTAAAGACGGCTTACATTTCTGATAATATAATAAATCAGGTAATAAAGCGTGTTTATGAGTTATGCTTATAGGTGATTATAAAACAGAGAGTTCCGGTCCTTGATTCTGATTGGCTGAGCCGCGTTCGAAGCTGTTGTAAATTACTCTACAAACATACACCTTTGTTTACATTTGTCTCTTGCTCGGCAACCACTTTGTTGCAACCAGAACTGTTTCTAAGGAACTACATTGTTTAGCGGAAGAATAATGTTTTTATTAAAGGGGTCATATGATGCGATTTCAAGTTTTCCTTTCTCTTTGGAGTGTACAATAATGTATAGTATTTGAAAAATAATGTGTTTTTTGAACATTAAAGCATGTCAACATATTCTGTTACACCAAATACACAAAATAATGATCTTTAAAAAAGCATCATATGACCCCTTTAATATCATTACATTTTATTTGCTCTGTTTTATTTTGTGAAATCTTGCTACACATATGGAATAACCGTTTTATAAAAGCAATAAGCCCCGTGAAGCTGTGGTTTACAGTGAATTTATAACCGCTAAGGGTTGTTGTTAGGCACTCCGCTTCGCGCGTTTTGTTTGAACAACGCCCCTTAGCTGTTATAAATTCACTGTAAACCACGGCTTCTTGGGGCTTATTGCTTGAAAGTGCAATACGTCTGATGTAATTTCTCACTCACGATCTGTAATCAATATTTTGAGCAAAATAATTGTGATTATCAGTTTAACCATAATGCAGTATGACTACAATGTGATTGACTAAAACTCCCAGGAGAGGTTGATTAACTATGATGAAATGTGCTGAGAAAGTGTTTGCTGGTGTGCAGCTGCAGCTGGAGGTGGCGCTGCTGCGCGGGGAGCTGCAGGCCGAGGAGGAGTGTCTGCGCAGACACACAGAGCAGCTGCAGGTGCTGCAGGAGAAGGACAGGCAGCGCAGGAGCCGGCAGCGGGCCAGCAGACAGAAGGTCTGGCTTTCATCGGTTTGTGATGTGTGATCAGAAGGGGTGTGACGGTGCACAAACATGACGGTTCAGTACAGCAGGGGGAAAAAACTAAACATGAAATTGCTTTTTTTGATATTAAACAGTGGATTACTGAACAAATTGCTTTTTTTTTTTAAATAAATTTTATTACAATTAAAATTTTCTTACGGATAAAAATCTACCTCGGATTCTAGTCAAGTCAATTCACCTTTATTTATATAGCGCTTTTAACAATACAGATTGTGTCAAAGCAGCTTTACAGCATTAATTAGGAAAATAGTGTGTCAATAATGCAAAATGACAATAGTAAATAATCAATTTTCAGTTAAAGGCAGTTCATCATTGAATTCAGTGATGTCATCATCAAGCTCAGTTCAGTTTAAATAGTATCTGTGCAATCAAGTCAACGATATCGCTGGAAATGAAGTGTCCCCAACTAAGCAAGCCAGAGGCGACAGTGGCAAGGAACCCAAACTCCATCGGTGACAGAATGGAGAAAAAACCTTGGGAGAAACCAGGCTCAGTCGGGGGGCCAGTTCTCCTCTGACCAGACGAAACCAGCAGTTCAGTTCGTTTGGGGCGGGACTATTTGACTGACTGACCAATGACAGGAGTTTGGGGTGGGACTATCTGACTTACTGACCAATGACAGATGAGAGGAGTGTTGTTTTGAAGTTATCAGACATTACTTTTGCAATTACACTGCAGAGAAACAACATGCTTTTCTATCCAGATTGTTCTTTTTTAAAGCAGAGATTGGTTATTAGGGTTGATGTTATATATATCATTCAAAATGTCAGTAAGAACTTTTAAAAACTTTTGTTAATCAAGGATGCATTAAATTGATCAGAAGTGCCAGAACTGTTTTCAACATTGATATTAATCAGAAATGTTTCTTGAGCAGCAAATCAGCATATTAGAATGATTTCTGAAGATCATGTGACACTGAAGACTGGAGTAATGATGCTGAAAATTCAGCTTTTAATTCAAATTCAAATTCATTTTAACATATTAAAATAGAACACAGTTATTTTAGATTATAATAATATTTCACAATTTTTACTGTATGTATGCAGCCTGAGTGAGCAGAAGAGACTCAAAAACATTACAAAATCCTACCGACCCCAAACTTTTCTGTATATACATACAGTAGAAATTGATTGAAATTTTTATATTTGTTATTTTTCACAAATAAATGTATTATTTGTTTATTTTTAAATGTTTAATGTTACATTGTTTATAAAATAAAATAAAAGCATGAAGATCTCTATTGAGAGATCAGCGCTGTCATCACATGACTGTAATGCGAAGCATCTGTTTGGTTCTCAGGAGAGGGATGCTCTGGAGGCCACAGTGCGAGCGTTTGAAGACATGGAGTTCCACGTTCTGGAGCTGGAGAGCGGAGTGGAAGACAAGCGAGAAGGAGAGGATGGAGAAAGTCAAATGGTCATCGAAAGAGAGATAAGCAGAGTACAGCACACGCGCAACGCATCTCAGGTGAGCTGAAAACCTGAACTGACAGCCTAGTTTAAAGGGGTCCTATTATGCTTTTTCACTTTTTCAACTTTAGTTAGTCTGTAATGTTGCTGTTTGAGCATAAAAAAGATCTGCAAAGTTACAAAGCTCAAAGTCCACTTCAAAAGGAGATATTTTATTTAACAGAAATCACTTTTCAAAAACTACAACGAACGACTCGTTTTTTTTATTATTTGATTTATTAATTAAAAGTGTTCTTAGATGGAAGGGAAAATAAACTAGCGGCAGGTTGTCCATCATTTGTATACGAGTCTCATCCGCATCAGACACCTCACTGAGTTTAGTGTGAGTCTCATCCATAGACTGCATAAAAACATGGACGTAGTGTCCGTGACGTCACCCGTAGGTTTCCGAAGAGCGTTTTTGAAGCCTAAAGTGGGCGGAGCCAGCCGCCGCCATCTTGGCAGCGCATCACTCCCAGGTAATCGAAAATGGGCAAAGAGGCGGGAGCTGGTTGCTGAAGCCACGCCCACCTAGCTTGACGGCAGTGACAGCAGCGGCAATCCACCTGTCACTCAAGTGGCCACGCCCATAATTATGCAAAACTTTAAGGCTTAATATAATTTAAACGGATGAGTTATAAAAAAATTCACCCCCCTCACAGTTGTCATGAAGGGCAAAATTAGCTATATAGACCAAAACCACTTTTTGTACCAGGCTGTAAACATATTCTTTTCTGCTGTAAAGTTGGGCATTTTAACATGGGGAGCCTCTAGCGGCCAGTCGATGAACTGCAGTTTTAGTCACATCTGTGTTGGTTTCACGAGAGAGAGCGGGAGGTCGTGTGAAAGCTGCTCCGGATGACAGATCTCTGAGCCGTCAGATCAGACACAGACCAGACAGAGGATCTTCTGCTCATGTCTTACAGGAACGAGTCCAGCGACTGGAGAAGCAGCTGAAGGAAATGGAGAAAGAAAAGGAGAAAGCGCTGAGCTCCCTCAGACAGGAGAGAAAGGAGCTGCTGCACAGCTCTCAGAGGGTATCATTACTGTATCTCAGTATTCATCAATACTTTGCATTTGTTTGCATTTTCATTTTTTTTCTATTTTAATTTTAAAGTTGAGTAGGGTTGTAACGGTATGAGATTTTCACGGTATGATAATCATCTCAGAAAATATCATATATTAAACAATAATTCTTATCAGTAACAATGACTCTTAAAAGAACAAGAACAAGTTATTTGAGTGAACAAATCCTTTATTACAACAAACTTGAAACCATTTTAATGAAAGTATTGAAGTCTCCCTTATAATAAAAATCACTTTCA